TTTTCGCTTGATGTAATTTGCAAAACAATAATAAATAAATAAATTTAAAAAAAAACTTTAAAAAGTTAAAAAAGGCAAGTAAAGTTAAAACAAATTGATAGAATAACCTATCAAAAGCGAACAAAAATAGCTAAATGATGCTAGCCCCCATCCCCTTTTTTAGCTTTTTGTCAGATCGTATTAAATTGAAAACAACAATAAAAAAATCAACAACAAAAAAACTAGCATAAACGCATGCATCGTCGGATACCCACGGTTGATTAACATGTTAATCAAGATAAATGTTAATGGTAAGGCAGTGGGTAACAATGGCTATCCGGCGATGAAACGCACGAGTATATGCTTGGAGATGAAAATGATAAAGTAACCATTTGTGACTCTTATTTAAAGCATTTAAAAGAAAGAAAATGAAACAAATGATACTTCAAAATATAAAGGAACACATTATATCATGTATATGGTTGAAAACATTATTGGAAGCGGACTTGTCCAGCTTCCGTTTCTGAATACGTTCATTCTCAATTTAGGGAATATAACTTGAATAAAATCAAATTTGAAATTGGTCAGCCAGCGGTTTAGAGCCTGGTCAATCTGATCGGACGTTTTTATTTTATCTTATTTCATTATTTTTGTTTTTATTTTATTTCATTATTGTTTATTTCATTTCATTTTGTTGTTTTCATTTTATTTCAATCATATTGTTATTTCATTCTTTTATTTCATTATTGTTCTTCTGGTCGTTATTACAATTATTTTAATATTTTATTTAATTTTTTCATCATTGCATGTTTTTAAATGATGAAATATTTCATCGTTGGAGTTTTCATTATGTTTCATTAATGTTGTTTTTGGTGGTAGTGGTGATATTCTTGGTGGTGTTATTATTATCTAAATCTTAAGAAATTTCAAATGGATGTTTCTATCATGACGTTGTTAAATTATCATTATTTCTCATTGTACGGCCTAGTATGTCTTTATTAACTATTAAATGTTACATATTACACTTGAAATATACATTGTAAAAATGCGCATCATTCATTTCTGCAATTTTACTATTGCCATTATGTTAACGATACAGTATGTTTGCCTATATATTAAGTCTTGATAAATGTACATTGCTGATCAAAGTTTACTTATTACACCACTTGAAATATACATTGCAAAAAAGTGCATTATTCATTATTGCAATTATACTCATTATTTCCATTACAATACATTGACGGTACAATGTGTTGGTAAACAGAAGATGTACAATGTAAAAAGCAAATTAAATATCCCTTCTATCCTGTTCACATCACGGCATTTATGACGGTGTTATTTTTTCAAGCTCATGTAGAAAATCCAATCGAGCTAACACCTTTTATGGTTTTTATTACTACGCCAAAAACTCATTACTTCATAATTGCCATAAATATTAGACAGTTACATGGTAATATATTTCTTAAACTTGGCAGAAAAAAACACCATTCAGAAGTTGAACATGACATTTTCAGAAAGATACCAAATCGTATCAGCTTTGTCACATATGTTGTAACGGCATGCAGTAGTTCCAAACCGGAAGCATAGTTATTTTGCTGACTGTAAAGAGGGTTTTGTTTTCTTCATTCCTTCACCTGCTCAATTTACCATGTTTCGTATTTCTGAAATGTAAAGATCACTGATACACCTGCATTCAACTTAGAGTCAACTGTTTTTCTTAAAGGCACATTATGCCTCAGAAATTAATAATTTTTTCCTACATCGCAAAATGTAAACACAGTAGTATTTTAACTTCCACACAACATACTAAATCACTAAAACTATTTTAAAAAGCAAAAATTATTCAGATAAATATCCAATTTATTTTGCTTTGACCAGACCTTTCAATCTTTGTGGCAACAGACAAACATTTAAGAATTTCAGACATGGCATTACCTTGTGAATTGATGTATTAGGTTTTACTTTTTCACACAAATATGCAACTTAATTATTATCCAACAAGCACATACCAAGAACATTGATTTATGCTTCGGATATTCAACTGTAAAAGAGAACGATTTTCAATGCCGATTGACTGTTCGCATCATTTGGCGGCGTCTTTGATGTGTAGCATCAACATTTAACTTGTATAATGTATAAAATATTCACATCACTTGTAATGCTTTGCGTTTCACTTGCAAAAGACAGCAGATTAAAAACAAGAGCTGTCGGTAGGACAGAACGCTCGACTATTCTAAGTGCTTGATAGTTAAAGAGCCTTGATAACGTAAAATTTAGAGCTTTGATAATGTTAAATTTTCTAAGTTCACAAAAGGGCTATTTTTTTTTTAATAAATTCATGTTATAGGCCTTAGAGACAGTCTAATTATACAGTATTGGCTTGACTATTCGGAAGGTAATGTCACAAGGGTGTTTTATTGAGTATAATAATACTAATTACCCATGAATACATAAAATTGACAGAAAAGGTACAAAGGCTTGTTATTAAGATGTTTTATCAAGTAAATCACTGCTTTATTATTATGAATGCAAATAATTGTCCCAAAAAAGGCACAAACCCTTCAGTAATTATAAAGATAACAGCTTACAAGCAAAACTATACCATGAATTTCTAAGTTGAAAAAGGGGAGAAAAATCAGCCTAAATGCAAGATAGAATTATGGATCTTTGTCAGTGACCTACACTTATGACCCTAAATGCATATGTGAAGTTTTAAATAAATATCTTTAATAGTTATTGAGATATGTAAAACTTGCATGTAAACATTAACCAAGAGACTAAGTAGAAAAGGGGATATGAATCAGCCTTAATGCAGGATAGAGTTATGGAACTTGGTCAGTGACATACAATTATGACCCTCAAATTATGACCCTAAGTACATGTGTAAAGTTTCAAGTAAATATGTTTGAAGACCTTTAATCTTTAACCAAAATTTTCTAAGTTTCAAATTTAAGGGGCAAATAGTTCTGCAAATATTGCAGGCAGAGTTATGCAATTTTGCAAACTGATGTACATTGTTACTATAAAAAAGAATTTTAAATTTCAATTGAATATCTCAAGCAATAATTGAGATATTTGACTTTACAAAAAAACTTTAACCAAAATTTCTTAGTTAAAAAGGGGCATAATTCTGTCAATATTGTAGGCAGAGTTATCCAACTTGTCAATCTGATGTACCTTGTTACTATAAATAAGTATTGTAAGTTTCAATTGAATATCTCAAGAAATAATTGAGATATTTGACTTTACAAAAAACTTTAACCAAAATTTCTAAGTTAAAAAGGGGCATAATTCTGTCAATATTGTAGGCAGAGTTATCCAACTTGTCAATCTGATGTACCTTGTTACTATAAATAAGTATTGTAAGTTTCAATTGAATATCTCAAGAAATAATTGAGATATTTGACTTTACAAAAAACTTTAACCAAAATTTCTAAGTTAAAAAGGGGCATAATTCTGTCAATATTGTAGGCAGAGTTATCCAACTTGTCAATCTGATTAACCTTGTTACTATAAATAAGTATTGTAAGTTTCAATTGAATATCTCAAGCAATAATTGAGATATTTGACTTTACAAAAAACTTTAACCAACGCAGACGCGGACGCGGACGCTGACGCCGACGCCGACGCCGACGCCGACGCCGGGCGACTACAATAGCTCTCATATTCTTCGAATAGTCGAGCTAAAAAACAATGTTATCATTACTCTTATTCAAATATGCACGAAATAGAATTCAGGAATACAACAAACAAATAATTACGTCTTACTCAAATAGTGGTCATAAAGCTTTTATTCACTTGATGCCATTAAACGATTTTCTTGGTATTTCTAGTATATTCTTAACTGCAATGGTTCAATTATTCTGGTTGGGTTTAACCCTTTACCTATTGGTCCGTGCACTCCGTGCCCAGGCTATATATTATCGTCTGCTCTTTGTATTTTGTTATTGAAATTCCATAAACTTCAAATGGACTATTCCATATTCAATGCAGGGCAGATCCATTATGACACTAATTTAGTAGGTGAATGGTGACTGTCTCGACGTTACTTATCAAGAAAACAATAATAATTTTTCAGCTTTTCTGGCGGAAGAAGGTCCAAAATAGCCCTCTATAAATTATTTTAGTCACGGTGGGACACTCCAGTAGAACCACCAATTTTCTCTGCCAATTAAACAAGCTGTGGATCACCTCTGTGGATCATCTCTGCACATGAAACTATTCATGAATTCAAAGTCGCTGCCCATAATAGTGAAAGAAGGGGGATGATTTGAAGACAATGAATTCATTCAATCATTCATTACTGAATAACAACAAAAGGTAACTGCTTCTGTGTTAAGCAAAGAGAAAAATATTTTTAAATTATCAAACCGAACTGTTTCAGGACCAGATGAATACACGTCTCATTCAAGAGCTATAAACAAGCCTTAAAACTGCACGCCTCCAGATAAACCAAAAATATTTCAAGAACAACAAACTTAAATGAACTCAGATTTTAAGAGAAGTAAAAAGATTTAAGATTCAAGTAATTATTTATGTGCTAAATGTCTTTAACGACCGAAGTCGCAGTACTTATTACCATATTTCTACTGCGTGACTAACGCAGTAATGGCTATTATTGTATATTTTGGCTTTTTTTTTGGTAATTTAAGTAGACTGTAAATGCTGTTTGTAATGTGTAAATTACTTTCCTTGTTCACTACACTATATTTTTCTTTTAGATACATTTTCAAAATTTACATGAAGAATGAGCATGAATCTGGAGGCATGCTGCTTTAACCTGCGGAAATTATTAAATGGACTTTTCCACATTTTATTTAAGGAACAGTCCATTATAAATTATTATAACTAATTATCACATGAAAATGAAAATTGGAAGTTAGCAAACAGTAAAGAGGCTGGTCAAACTGCACAAAAGTGCAGGCTGGCCTGGCTCTATTCTGGAGGCAAAGACTAATGACTTTCGCTTTCAGCAGGCTAAAAAACAAATCTATACATATATTCATTAAACCAAATATTACCTCATCAGTAGGTTCCAGTTCTGTGATAAGGATGTAACATGCCAAGATCAGTTTGCCGGTGCTCATTTCATATCTTTCGTTCTTTCCTAATTTCAAATCCTGAAACTGAAATATAGGTTAGAAAAATTATCTATTTATAGATTGAAAATTAAGATGTTATCGGAGTGCCACAATCAAAGTCACCAGTTCATTACAAAATACACATTATGCATTAGAAATAATTATGATATTTTATAGTATAATTATATTAAGAGATATTTTTATCTCCCTTGTTTGTAATACATTCATAGTTATCTCCCTTCCTTCGGCGCAATTACTACTAATGTAGTGCCGATATTTTTTACCTATTCGTGAATTAAGTAATTAAATGTATATTTTTGTGTATTTAGATTGTAATACTTTAAGGAAGCGAGTGATCTCGGAAAGAATAGTTATCTATTTTATGTTCAGTTCATTTTTTTCTAGAAAAGCAACAATAATTACAAAGTCATATTCCATCTGAAATTAACATGCTTTCAAAATACAAACATTGTACCAAATTAAAAGTTGTCATTATTAATAAACTGTAATCAGTTCTTTCTGATTACTTTGTGTGGTACGATGTTGATTAACTCTCAGCCTTCTAGTGCCAACAGAATATACATGTACCCGTGCGACCAGTGCAGACCAAAATCAGCCGGCATATCCTTAACATCTGCTCATGATCTGCACTACTCGATATTAAGTCAGTACATATTTTGAAATTTTACCTTAAAATGAGTAATGGTTTTGTCCAGATTTGAAGATGGGCAAGTCCATTTCAAATATTTTGCAGAGTTAAAGGTGTAATCAGCGACTCACAAACCCTTATCTGTTCTATGTTTAGCTTAAATTTATAGTTCTTCCAAATATCTTACCTTGACCCTCATTTGATATACTGAACGTCAGGGGAAGTAACTGAGATCACAACATCGAGAAGCAGACACACCGGAAGTCGCAAATTTCCACTTTACAATTTATTGTCGTCTGCTACCTGTGGATAAACTATTGGTAACATGGTCGAACAAATGTTACATTTTTTGGCATTTAAAAAATATTTGTAACTAAGATTAAAAGTTATTTGTTTAAATCCGCTTCATCATTTATTTCACGGTAATTGCATATTTTCATGTGACCATTGCTAAAATTGGTCAGAATTAGCATATTTTATTCATAAACCTATACAACAAAGTTTTGTGCAAAATACTTTAAATCTCTAGATTTTTACGTAAAACAGAACAACTGTTTACAAATTCTGCAAAAAATAACAATAGTGCGTATGTCTGACACAATCATTATTTTCTTAACGTTCTTGTTTGTTGAAAAACAGTTGGGCTAAAAATGGTTCATTATGAAACATTACACAATAATGATATGTCACCATAATTATTACATTGACACGAAAGTTTATTTTTCAAAAAGTAAACAAGACATACATTACAAAGTTATGATTTCCTTTTTCAAAACTCTAACCTGCTGAAAGCGAGTCCAGTATAGAGCTAGGCCAGCCTGTAATTTCGGGCAGTCTGATATGGTGCATGATTGCATCTGCGCGACAACTGTCGTCTGCTAGGATTCTTCCTGCCATTTCCTGATTCACGTCTGCTCAATGATCAATAAACATTTGTTTTACCATCAATCGAACAATAGTCTGAAATATATAGTGGTAATATTTAGAAATATACCATTTTATCTAGTTTTGTCTTTTAAAAGTAATCCAGTGTTGTTTCTTACGCCATCTGAAAACAAACGAAAAACCAAAGAACAATAATATTACACTAGTCTAAAATGTCGCATTCTGCATCTAAAATAATCAGTCAGTATAATAATTGTTAAAAATGTCGCATTCAACACCCAACTATCATTATTAGAAATGTCACGTTCTAAATCTAAAAGAATCAATGTTATCTTTAATATATTATCGCATTTTTCACCTATATATCAATATAATTATCAAAAATATCACATTACTCATATTAAACATCAATATAATTATACAAAATTGGGTATTGTTCAGCTAAAAAATCAATATAACTATAAATGTGTCTCCCATTTCTAAAGACAGTGATATAACTATTTGAAATGATGAATAATAATTCGACTAGTATAACAAAATCCAAAATTTTCAAATCGATCACAATGTATCAGCAAAGAATCAACTGTCTTATCGACCACCAATTTCCAAACTATTTAGAAATAAGGCCTGAATTTTCAACAAAGAAAAACTACCATAACACAAAAATGACACTAACAACTCCAACAAAGACAATGAAAAACTACCATCACACACATAAACAACTCCCGCAAAGAGACAAACTAAAACACCGAACCCAAATCGAATAACCCCAATCACATACCAACTCCAAAAATTTGACAACCAAAATCGATATAAACAATGCACACAAAATATCGTCAATATACATAAACATAGTTTTCAATTTTGACAAATAAAATCTTCATTTCTAAAATAAATTTTGTAATTTAACGCAATTTCAGTTACTGACATAATACCATTTACATGTATATATGTATATCAAATTTCTTATAATGTCAAATTTTCCAAATGTAAATTGAATTAAATAAGTATGCTGTTTTTACGTGCATAATGTGTAATGTCCTTGTTCCTGTTGTTCCACAAGCATGGCTCGATATAGTATGATTACTTGCAAGTTCATTGGTTCCTTTTGAAATTTCATCTTCTGAAACTGATAAAACTTACGAAGAAAAGTTAAAACTCATTTGTCTAAAAATAACTAGTTTCTAAAAAAAGCTAGTTTCTATAAATAACTAGATTTACCTTATGATTGCTCACCACCTTGAACAACGTCATTTCATCATCATTGTTACACCCATGGACGTCCTCATCAACATTACCATAAACAACAACATTGTCATCAACATGGCCATCATTTTTACACATCACACGTCAATCAGCCGTGTCAATACTTTGTTAGACCTCATACGCCAACTATCAATTATTCATATCTGTTTTTTGTTTTATATCTTATGCCAATTATCTATGACAATGTTTTGTTAAAAAAATCATATGTAAGCAATTGTATTATCTGGTTTTCCAACATGTGACTTTTGAGTATAGAAGGAAATAAATAAAATTATTGTTATTACCATCCTTTAAAACAGAAAAGAATCAGGAATTGTATTCCTACAGTAAGTGAATCAACATATGTACATGTACTAATTCTTTACAGTAATAAATAATATAGTGCCACAGTTAGAAAAAAATAACAACATATTGTAATTATGCGTTACGATTTACATTTAACTCCTACCTTCGTTTCCGTCACATCCCTCTCACAAACTTCACGCAAATGTAGCTAACAGTAAAGTGCATGGAAAATCACTAGACCATGAATCTTGAGCGCTCGGGGACAATCTTGTATGTTTAACCACTGATTGATTCTCACCAAAAAACTTTACTAAACAAATCCGTTAAAGACGCCAGCAAAACATTTTCCGATCTCTTTTCAGTCACACCATTCAATTTGCTATGTATTTATATAAAAACTATTGTTCCCCACCTTGATTAATCGGAAGGACCAAAAAGTTAACGTGGTTGGCACACAATCACGTGACATGCGCGAAACAGTTTTTATTCGATATTTGAGCATAAAGACGCAAACACAATTGGAAGAAGTAATGAAATATTGAAAGAAGCTGGGACCTTAAAGTTAAAAACGGTTTATAATATTTCAGTTTGTTAAGGTATTTAATTAAAGGAGCTCCACTGAGGTCAAAAAACTAAACACATAAAAATACATTCTTACATAGGTAAACTGCATGACATTTAAAACGGACAAATATGCAAAAGATGTTAAAAATATATAGAGGATATTCAAGTTTTTTCTGTAAATACATGATTTATTTTCATCAAGTGGTATGAAAATAAATATTTCATGAGTGGTGGTAGCCACGAGTGAAATGTGATAATTTTCATGCCACAAGAAAAAGATGGAATTTTCTGTTTATTATATACATTTGTCTCTATTTTTAAATTACAATTTGGAAGACTATTCCTTAAATTGTGTGTACTGGCAGAATGTAAAAGAATGTAGTCTGGCAAGACACCAGTAAAAACACTTAAAATATGTTTCACTAAAATACTTTTTTTACAGTGAAAATACGAAAATGAAAAAAAGCATTTTATTTCATCAATATTTCTCAATATTTCATTTAAAGGTATATAATAAATATATATACTCAGATTTGATTTAGATATAAATTCTATTTTGTCACGGATCTTAATTACAATGTAGTAAATTGGAGTAAATATGTACATAAAACGAAGTGTCTCATATGCCTCGAACGCTGGCCCTTGAGTGATAATAAGATTAATAAACAAGCATTTTACATATTCTTAAAACATAAACATTCACAATAATTAATGTAATTGTAAAATGAACAGCACATTTTAAAATCAAAAGAGAAGCAGTATTGATCAACATTTTTCATTAATGATTACTAGTACATATCTAATCAGGTAAGAGAAGACAGAGGTGATGGTTGACTAGAAATGAGCTTTTACGAAGACCCCTTCATGTTTAGTATGAGGCTCTCATGGCCGAACTTGTTGAGGATCCGGCGTCCTTCAAGAAATTCACTATAATCGGACCTGATATGTCTCGGGGGTCGGACGCGATGAGGCCGAATCCTTTCCGCCAAAATCACTGAGCTCTGCAATTCGTTTTTTTAGGTGTTCTTTTCTTGTGAGACATTGAGCATGCAAGAGGTTGTGGACGGATATAATAGGTCCGTATAGATCCGTGGGAATTCGTTCTTCTCCGTATCAATTCGTTGTTCTTCGTATCAGACCGTACTTATTCGTACTAACCCGTGCTTATACCGTAGCAGACCGTAGTGTATCCGTAGTGCGTCCGTCCTGATTCGTTTCGCTCCGTATCAAACCGTGTCGGTCCATAACAATCCGTGTCTCTCCCGGGGCTTTTGGTGGTAAATCCGTCGAACTCCGTTCTCATACCGTTGTATTCCGTACTGGAACCGTAGCGGACTACGGAATTTCACATTTCCATAGTAATCCGTGATACCCCGGTCACATATTCACGGAATACGCCCACGGAGGAGCCACGGGTTAATTCCGGCATCGTCCGTAGCTACCCGTAATGGTCAGTAGCTCTCCGTATTTTAACCGTTATCAATCGTAGTAGTCCTGGTATATCCGTAGCGATCCTTGACAATTTTTGAACATGCACAAAAATTTGCTACGGAAAAATCAACCGTAGCGTATCCCTGCTAGTCCGTATTAAAACGTACCGATACTTACTGGTCCGTACGAAAACCGTACTAGTCCGTACTGATTCGTAGCCCACCAACTTGTCAAGGATGTCCACGGTTTGGTACGAAGAACTACGTTTTAGTACGGTTACCCTACGTTTAAGCTACGGTTTTAATACGGATTAATACGGAAAGCCACGATCGTAATACGTTGTGGTCAGGGTATCGCATTGTAACATGGCCAGCGATTGGCTGAAAAAAAGTGCAGGGAAAACCATATGAGTCAATTTATACATGAGGTGATTGGATGAAAGTGGGGTATTCTTAAGTAAAAAAACTATTTTAAAAAGTAACACTACACAGTTTTCTGAAGAAAATGAAATATTTCATGAGTCTCTGTGATATTTTTGACTTGGATATTTGCATTTATAAAAAGTGTATGTCAGTCCTGTGATCAGCAGAAAATTTCAATGAAATGGGGGGTAATCCTCTCTGAAGTCATTTTGCAAAAAATTTGGTTGGCTACCCCTATATAACAAGAACATTTTTATGTGTCAGGCATTTCATTCTGCTAGAAAAATTAGCTCTTTAGCATGAAAACTCAATTTTAAAGTAGGATTAGGGATCATTTCTTATAATGTAAGTCTATGGAAATATCAATGTGAGTATCTGACCTAAAGAGAGGGAAATTGGAACTGTCATAATTCATTTGTAGTACTTTGTCTTCATTGATACACCATGAAAAGCTGATATTTTGGAAGAATGGATGTATACAGCCTGTCTAGGTATGAAATTTCATTATTTCAATGCAACTGTTGGTGTTTACAGCAGATAATGTGTCAAGGGGGTCAATCTACAAGCATTGTTTACATATGAACAAGAGTATTAGTGTTACTTAAAAGTTAATAATGGTTTGTATTTTCTTTAAACAGTGAATTTGAGTGATAATTAATTGGTGATATGTTGATGATGAATAATGTAGACCTTGGTCATTAAAAATATTTTTCAGATTTCAAAGAAATGCTGTACATTGGCTATACACATGCCAGGTTTGAAGACTTATGTATAACTTGACAGGACCTGATGTAAGCACATTGGCCACTTTTGATGGGTGTTGCAGGTATATCAATACAAATGCATATTGTCAGGTTCAAAACTAATATATTAATACTAGATATAGTCTAGGTTGCAGTTTCGGTTAACTTTCGACTTCATTTAGGGGTAGACATTTCTTTCGCTCGGCACTAATTTTTTTCCATTTTGCTCAAATATTTACATAGAATGTCACAAATAAATTGCTTCTATGTCTGTTTCCCATATAAGAATGTTTTGTGTTTCATTTACAGGCATAGATAGCATAAAAGCTTCAAATAAATAGCATTTTAAGGCTTCTGTCTTAAAATTTACTTGGTTTCAGGGCATGAATATCAAC